TTGCATTTCGGAAAATAAATTTTGAAAATTCAGCATTGCTATTAAAATTTTCTGGGGAAAAAAAATTCGCACCTACCTACCAACCCAATTTTTTCGTCCTGAGTCGGGAGAGGGCATACAAACATTATTTTAAAGTTGGTCGTATTCCCTGCATTATTGGCGTAAATCATCAAAATAATTTTTTGCACCGTCTATTTGCACTGTACCGACTTAGCGGGTCAATATTCGCATGTCTTGCAGTGAACATGTAATATAAAAAAAACTGAGGATGAGGATATAATTTTCATATTGTCATCATATCCTTATACGGTCATTATAAGTTCAGATTATATTTTGAAGTTTAAATTTTTTTTATGTCACATTGATTCATCATGTAATACCCCCCCCCCCCCCCTTTTGCTAAATTTCATTTGAAGAAAAAAAAAATCAAATGCTTAGGCCTACATATTCTTCCATTCATTTTGTAGTTCTCAAATTTTGCGGAAGTATGACCGCTTAGTTTGGGTCTAATAAGATATGTCGTTGATATGGAAAGAGGGAATGTTGGCAGTGAAATGAGTGGCGCTGCGGACCAGAAGTAGTAGTGCCATATTCCTAGGACTCTTCCATAAATCACATATTATAAATCCAAAGTAATGAGTAAATCAGTTTCCGAGTTTATTAAAGGTTTTAACGATGGACAACAATTTTAACTTTCATGTGGGGACACAGACAGAAGTGGCCAGTATTTCGTCGGACCTCCGTGCACGTACAATTTATATACTGGTATATACATGTAACAGAGTTCTTTGACAACAATTAGCGAATTGAGTGATAAAATGACATGTGTTGAGTAAATTACAAAGTCTGTGAAAAGCTTTGATAAGATGGACATCAAAGAAATTTAAAGTGTTGAGGGCAATTCACATTAAATACAGATTTGTAATTAAAATTGATAAAAAGAATTTATGTTTTAAGTAATATTCAAACTAAGATTTATCTCAAGAGTCGATTTTGCATGGTGATAGAAGTATTTATCTCAGCTTTAAAAAGAAATCAAATTTTCTTCGCTGATACTAACAACCTGTCATTTCAAGTTCGTAAAATTTTGACATGTTATACTAGTATCTATGAAACGCCCCTTGATCCGAGGTCTGATAAATTTATACGCATTGGATATTCTTGTATCTATCTACTGAGTAACCTCTGGTGGTATCGCCGACATTGCTGAGCACTGCCATTTTAGCTGAATTTTCTTTTGTCGAAAAGGGATTAATCCCCTACCGAAATACATTTTTTCTTTGTTTTGTTTTGTTTTGTTTTTTTTTTTTTTTTGTGTTTTTGGTTTATTTTTAAATTGTTATTTTAAGCCCCCCTCCTACTTTTCAGAAAAACGTTGTTACGTACATGCCTAAAGTAATGATCAAATATGATTCATTAAGAAAAATAAGCAGTCATTCTTCACAATTAATTCAAAGATTAAACTGAACTTACTGCAAACCTTCCTACACAAAAATGTATTTATTTTCATAACCTTTAATTCAGATAAACACTGCATTTTTGGAAGAAATTAAAATAATAATCAGATGCAATATTAAAGGGAAATAAATCTGTTTTCAATCTTGCAGATTTAATTTCTCCGTATTATGTTTTTGGGGTTTTATAAATAACGACGCATTATTTACTAGGAATTAAATGCAGGCATGTTGTATTGGGGGGGGGGGGGGGGTGTTCCATGCATAATGTTTTACTGGTAATTGAATGATATAGAATGAAGGTGTTCACTGAATGATTAATTGCACCCACCTCTAATACCCCCCCCCCTCTTTTTGTAGCAAACTCAAATCTTTCCATATAATGCATGAAAAAATTGGTCAATTTTTTTTCCTTTGCAGCATTTACTTTTTTCTCATTTTTTCCACCTGGTCCAACACTTTTAACAAATAGTACTAGATTTTATTCTCAAATTTCGAGAAATATATATCATAGCAAACACAGAAGCTAGGCGGTCTCCGTAAACAGTAAAATCCGGTTTTTTACTTGAATGAGATAACAAACTCATTGACCCTCAATGACCGTGACAAAGGCAGATTGTCATTTATCGCGTTTATACACACAGAATAAATGATGTTTTCTTTATTAAATGTAATGCTTTACAAAGAATCAACCTTTTTCAAACTTCGTTATTTGCTACATGTAGAGCTGATCAAAATTTTAATCGCATATAAAAACATATATGCTAGGAACAGTTTAAGAATTTTTTTTTATTTATTGTTCATCATTTCACTTCGGTTACTATGTACTTGTGTTAAAAAGGATGTGTACATGTAGAGGTATATATCGATTATGTGCATGTACAATCGCTTTCAATGTATTAAAAATTGGATAAAAAAAACTAGCACCTAATTATATCAGCAAAATTTAATATTCAATATTGGAAATGTCCATTTATATGGAACTTAGATCTAATAATTTTTATTTTTTTAATTTTTCCTGATATTTTATTGGCTCTAAATGATATAACAACAATGAAAATAAGTTGATAGCGCTCAGGTAAAAATGTTGGAAAAATATATAACATACGCAACTTGCATTTTATGACGTTATCTTTACCGGTGTTTTTCTCATTATGACGTCAATATACATAAGGGCCCTTTTCGCATGGGACGGCTCATTTTTAATTTCTTGTAAATTAGAAAGTTATAAGCAAATTTAAATTTTGGTCTTAGTCGTGAGTTCTTTTGTAAAATGGGCCCCAGATCTAGCATACAAAGGGAATTAAGACTGTTAGTGTGTATCCCTTAATGCATCAGCTATACATGTTTGCATGGTCCAGGTAAGCCTTATAGTTATTTGGAAATGGACCTGCTCAAAAAACTTTAACCTTGTCACTCATCCTGAGAGCACAGGTCAAATCCAGCATCCAAAATAAGTCTGGTAGTGTGCATCCCTAAATGGCTCTATGAAGGGTTTAAAATTAAACTGGAATTAACCTGCTCCAAAACCATTAACTTGGTCACTCAGCCAGAAAATGTAGGTCAAATCCAGAATCCAAGAAATTCTGGTAGTGTGCATCCCTAGATGTATCACTCCAAAAACTGGTCACTCATTTGGAACATAGAGGTCTAATCCAACATCTGAAGTAAGTGTGAGAGTGTGTTTCCCTTAATGCATCATTCATGCAAGTATGGTCTGGGTTGGTCTTGAAGTTACACTGGAATGAACCTGCTCAAGAAACTTTCACCCTGGTCATCTGGAAAATATAGGTCAAATCCAACATCTGCAGAAAGTCTGAAAGTGTATATTCCTATATGCAAATTCCAAGCAAATTTGGTCCAGATAGTGCTTGAAGTTACGCTGGAATGAGCCTACTCCAAAAACTTTCACCTGGTCACTCATCTGCAAAATGTTGGGCAAATCCAGCATCCAAAACAACTCTTGTAGTGTATCAAAGTGATGCATCATCCATACAAGTTTGATTCAAGTAGGCCTTACAATTTCTTGGTAACAGACCTCCTCCAAAAACTTAAACCTGGTCACTCAACTGGAGAATATAGGTCAGATCAAGCATCCAAAGCAAGTCCAGTATTATGCATTCTTAGCTGTATCATGCATTCAAGTTTGGTCAGCATAGGGCTTATATTTACTTTAGAATGAACTTGCTCCAAAAACTTTAATCTTGTCACTCATCTGGAAATGTAGGTCAGATCCAGCATCTATTAAAGCAAGTTTGGAACAGGAAGTGCACATCTTAAGAAGTATCATCCCTGCACATTTGCTCAATATATTTTTCATTTAGGGCACTTATAGTTACTTGGAAATGAGACCTGCTTCAAAAACTTAATCTGCTCCAAAAACTTAAATCTGTCCCAAAAGCATTAACTTGGTCATTCTTTGTCTGAAAAATGCAGCATCTGAAAGCTGACTGGTACAATGAAACATCCTAGAAGCACTGTTCATGTACTATGGAAGGAAGTACTAAGTTTGATATATTACTATAACTTACGTTGTCATGGAAATGCACAGATACAGCACATTTTCCTCTTAACATGCAATTAATAGTCATCAATTAAAGTAACAAAATAATTTTTTTAAAATCTTGGTTTTATCTGCTCAACATTCACATCAGAATAGTAGAATGTACATACACGTAAAACAACACAAAAAAGCAGTGATTTCCTCAGATTAATTAAAGGTGTCTCTTACTAAATTAAATGTTTCTTTGGCATGATGTTGGTACTGTTAAAAAAATAAAAAAATGAGAATATATTGGAAATTGACCTGTCTGTCTCTAAGGAATGCAAAATATTGTACGTTAATAGAAGAAATTAATTTAACTTTATTAAAAAAATATTATTGACTATATGTATTTTGCTGTATAAAATCATGCTGAGAATATGTAACATATCAGTTTAAATGTCATATTTTTTCGCTTGGATGTAAAAATGTTTCCAAATATAATGATTTTTAATTATATTTTTCTTTAAGGTGGGTGGCAAATGATTTGTAGCAATCCCACTTTTAGAATAATCTATTATCTTATAAATAGGAGTTTCCCCATGCCAATAAAAAGTCACCACAGAAATCTCTGGCCTTGCCTGCACAATCTGTACACCTATACCCCACAATTAGATGATGACAAGCAAAGAGCCAGAGGGGTGTTTTCTCTATTGAAAACTACTGGTGCAGAAACCCATTTTATTTGGATTTGAAAGACTGTACTTTGCAGGCGCGGCCTTATTTTTCAATTGCTTGTTTATTTCTCCACTCTGACCATTTTTCATCTAGGGCACTTAAATAGTGACCAAACAAAAGCAAAGAAATTGCATCACTACCCAGAGGGCTGTTGGTGCGTTGTGGACGAGCGCATACTGGTACCAGTGGTCAATCAAAAGAAAACACTTATGCAATTTTTAGATTGGTCCAGACTGACTATCAGTTAAGAGATGAATTATGGTCCTACCCAGCAGGCAAAATTCTAATTACATTTCCATTGTACAAGATTTTGTACATCAGATAACCTACCTTTTAAATGTCACATTCTGCAGATGACCAGGTTGTCTATCACTGCTGGCCTTGACAAAACATCCAATAATACCTAAAATGTTTATATATAAAGCAAATGTAATTTAATTAAAAAAAAAAAATTAAGTATAAGTGCAATTTGCAAATTAATTGCAAACCTTATTATTTAATACACATTTTTGATTTCGGAGATGTCAGAAATTTCCCTCTCAAAATTCCAAACAATTATTATGATACACTATTAATCAAAGAAAAACAATTATTTATTATTAATTTTTTTTTTAACTTTGGCCCAATCTTATTAAATGTAAAGTTTATAAACAATTAAAGATGCTCAAATCAAAAACAAATATCAGTGTCAAAAATAAACAAAATATTATTTTGCATTCATCTCTATAAATCAGAGATTTTCAAACAATTAATGGATCTTTTAAAAAAATAAGAAGAAATTCTGATCCACGCCACTGTCCTACTTTTGATCTTCTCGTTGCCTTTCGGGTCTTGAGAGAATGTACCGCTGCCAAGAGATAGTGATCGGCTGCACTGGTTCACATGTATAGCCTGCAGTTATTTATCGAGGGTCACCAGAAATTTTTATCTACAATTTTCTGTTGTCCAGCCTGACCACCAAGACATAGATGTAGGTCAACTTACAGGTGCAATCCCCTTACTGTCTCCAAAATAATGTAGACTAAATTGGTCTTGTGTTCTTTCTTCTTCTTGATTTTTTTATTTTATTAATTTTATTTTGTTTCTGGTCAAATAAAAGGGTAATATTTAAACCTTATGTAAAATCAAAAGCCTGAAAGGCTTCAATGACGTCGAACAAGAAAAATAATTTCAAAAGAATCTGAAGATAGCAATAGGTCGAGTGAGTGACTCAGGTGACATAATAATAATAATAATAAAAAAATAGTTTTAAACAAAATGTCACAATTACAGTCTGGGGCCTTATGTCATGGTCCGAATGGAGCAGGGTTCGAATTGACCAGACACCATTGAACATGTTCATGCTAAATATCAAACTAATATCTTTTCAGTCAATTGAAGAACTATGAAGGACTTCATGAATTTATATATTATTCTTTCTAATTGCCAATGTCAAAGCGTTGTTTTGGTGATTGCATCTAAACTACAACCATGACTCTGCTCTGTTACACGTACGATCGAGTTACGATAGGGGGTGGTATATTGGAGGAAATGGAGAAATACAGTAATACTGGTCAACATCATCGGTTTTTAGGATAAAGTTGGTCAGAAGATTGTAAAAGTAAAGCTAAGATTTACAAATTCAATCTTTTCAGTCTTATAGTATTCGTGTTTATGTAATTTTGTAAATTATTTTACCGCCTGTTGGGTTGTTTGTGTTCCACGGTTATCGTTCCAAAATGTTATTCATGTCATTCGACGCACCTTTCTGTAGAAATTCATCCGCAACAACCATCACGTTTTTATTGTGTGAAAATAAAACATAATATCGTTGTTTTGTAAAAGAATTAATTGTAGATACAATTGATGCAATTTCATTTTCAAGCTATAATTATTCATTGTGAGCGTTTTAAAAGAAATTGGTTTATAGCTATTGCTATTTTCTATTGCGGATGCATCCACTGACACATTCGGTCGCGTACATCCCTTGGCGATTTCACTTGGCCGATCGCTAGATGACGTTCGAGCTCCAAGAGCTCGACGTCATAAAAATCATTATTTTGCTTTACATATTTTTTCAAGCTAAAAAATTAAAATTAATCTACAAGTCCTAAATTTATATATTTAATTTATTTCAAGGATTTTCATAGCATTTAACAGAATATTCTGTACATCTACTAATTCCCAGTTCTCTTTTTAATTATAAAATAATAAAGAAAAATTTACATCAACTTTTACCATTTCATTATTCTCACAAGACTATATGCTAGAGTGATATGCACTAATTAATTCAGGAACAACAAAGGTGAAATTGAAATTTCTGGATTTAATTTCTAAACAATCATACATCAGCAGTAGATTAATCAACTACGAATAGTAATTCACAATCTCATTTTTTGGTCAACTTGACATCAGTAAAATGTCATCAGTGGTCTTGCAAAAATGTTTGTACAATGTACTAGCCCCTTCTGAATTTGGCTTCAAGATTTAATCAATGGACATTTAGTTCCATGGGTCATTTTAAGATGACTATCAAAATCCACACACAGTTGTTGAGTCAAACGCCAGGTATGTCAAGCATACCTTAGGATTAATACAGGTGTACAGTTCAGTGTATACCCTAAGAAAATGTTCCGGCTCTTTCATCTGTTGGTCAAATCTCTATTTTGTTAAAGTACATATTCAAACCAAAAAAATGACATTTCACTCATACCCTTTGTGGACAAAATCTTTGCCTATAAATTTGTAGCAGTTTTGCCTATTAAAGGTCCAGATTTACCAAATTCAATTCTTTGCACTCATTGCATCTTTAAAATGCCAATAACTTACCTGTCCCTTTAAACACTGTTAAACACTGTTCAAACTATGCGTCTATCTCTGTCCATTTCTAAACTGCACTTATCTAAAGGGGTTTCACATCTAAAATGGAGGGAATCATATACAGAAGAGGTGAGAATATAAAGGCCAAAAAATGAAGGGCAATTACTACTGATTGCACAATACTTCAAACCTATTGTCCACCATAGCACACAATACTCTTTTTTTCTCGACCCATCGGAACCCTAGCCAAATCCTCTTTCTTACAACTCTCGGGTTTCAAGTGCTCGATTTGCCGATATTATGAAAATGCAAATGATGAGAGGAAGGAACAAAAAATTTTTGCATTGAGTAACTGATTACACAAGGTCAAAAGTTCTCCCCCTCTTGGTGACCTGTCCAACTAAAACATCTGCTCTTTTTGGCTTTCCTGTCATCTTACCCAGTCATTTTTCCAGCTTTTATACAGACGTAATGTTTTTGTCATATAATTTAAAAAAAGTTTTTAATATCAGTGTGTCAGTTCTCTTTTAAATAAATATGAATTGCTTTTGTTTTGTGCAGTTTGAACTGATTTTAGTACTACTGTCCTCTAACAGACATAAAACTAATATGACAATTATTATGTTTTCTAAAAGCTTATTATAAGAAATTATTATGGCATTTTAACTTTTTTCCCCCAATAAAAACAATTTTTTGAAATGTTAGGAAAAGCATTTTTCATTGTACCAGTAGTTTTTTAAGAATCCAAATAAAAGATCTTCTTCAGCAAGATACATCTCTTTTTTTTTTATTCAATCCTATTTCTGATTAATTAGACTTTCTGAATATGCAAATTATATTTCAAATTAAAAAAAAAAAAATCAGTCTCGATCCTTTCATTCAGTAAAATAAAATGATTTGTTTTCCATTAAATTTTTCTTCTCAGACTTTGGATTTTTGGATTTGGATTAAAAAGGTTTTCCTTTCCAAAAAAAAAAAAAAGAAAAAGAAGAAATATATGACTGCCCACATGTGATCATAAGGTCAAAGAAAATGAAATGGTCACAAAATATATGAATAATTAAAATTCTCCCAGCAAGACATTTCTGTGAATGAATCCTTTACACTATTCAAGAAAGGAATAAACAGTGAAAAAGGAAAGTGAGGTCAAAGGTAAGGCCAAGGTCATTAAATATGATGAAGCTGAATAATTGTTCTCATTAAAATGTATTGATCCCTTTTAAGTTTTAACATGTTGCATGGTGAAGTCCATCCGATTTTTCTAAAAAATTAAGATAAAGTACAAAAAATGAAGTCAAGATCCAAGGAAAAAACAAGGTCACAAATTCTGCCACCTGTAGAATGATCTTATAGGCATCTTTATATGAAGTTTAATGAAGAAATATCTCAGCATTTTCAAGAAAATGAGTTGAAAAAAGAAAATTTTAAATCCAACCAAAGCAATGTCAAGATAAGAAAATTCTAACAAAATGGGACAAACTGAAGGATGTAGAAACGGAAGACAATCATAACATTACCTCACCCACATACAGAAATCACTGTCACCAAAAAACTTGGAACAAAACCTACACAAGAATTAAAGTTTTTATTTACAGATACAACTGCTTTGAATGAATGCATCTTTGCATTCTCTGTAAAAACCTGCCTTGGAAAGAGCACAGTTTCATGATAAACTGTAAATGTACTAGTGGTAAACTTATTTTAGCGGTAATCATGCATATTTTAGTGGTAATCATATTTTAATGGTAATCATATTTTAGCAGTAATAATATTTTAGTGGTAATCATATTTTAGCAGTAATCATATTTTACTGGGTATCATATTTTACTGGTAATCCAATTTTTAGCGGCAATCAAATTTTAGCGGTAATCAAATTTTAGCAGTAATCATATTTTAGCGGTTATCAAATTTTAGCGGTAATCAAATTTTAGCAGTAATCATATTTTAGCAGTAATCAAAATTTTAGTGGTTATCAAATTTTAGCAGTAATCATACTTTAGTGGTTCGTATTATTAGTGGTAATCATACTTTAGGGCCTTTCACACTGTTTCTTATATATCCACTAATTTATGTAAACACAATATGATTAAAACTAATGTACACGCTTGTATATGCTTTAAACTAATATACGTCATTGATAAAACAGTAGTGCATCAATATATGAAAGCATTAATTAGTTTAAGTTGTGCTTAATTTTTAGTGTGCTAATTTATGTACATTTATAGTATTATGCTTGCATGAAAAAAAAAGCTGACTTCAAGATATTTATAATTTTACAGTTTGTTTCTGTAAATTAAATGGAGTATTTCACTTGTAGAACCTGAGCTTTTTGATACATTTAAGATCTGTAAATCCTTTGCAAGTTATAAATATAAACCCCAACCCCCAACTCCAAATGCCCTCTCACTTTTTTGTCTTTTAAAGGAATATGCCTGAAAATCATTTTTAAAGTACAAACCAAAATTAAATAAATACAAAAAGTTGAAATAAATTAATAAAAATAAATAAAATAGCTTATAAATTTTCTTTCTTCCATATAAAGTTTGAAATTTG